GCGGCGGCGGCGGCTGCGGGAGCAGGCGTGCGTCGGTGGACGGCCCCGGGGCCGGCCTGCGTGCGCCGCGGGCGCTGAGGTCGCGGCCCCCCGCTCTTTGGGGAGGGCCGCACGCTCGCCCCCCCCTCCCCCGCCTTCCCGTGCAGCAAGGTCGTTCTCGCGGCGCTCCCGCTCTGCCAGCCAACGGCAAGAAAAAAAGGGTATAGTGTGCCAAATCAAGGACAATCCATTTAGAGCGGAAGGTGGAAACAAAACAAGAACTCACAATTTCCGCGGCGGCTAACTATTTTTTAACTTGGACATGAGCACGCGGCCGGAAGAGGGGCGGTAAAGCGGGCGGGTCGGTGGGGCGGGGTGCAGCGGAAGCCCATGCCGAGAAACAGCCTGCTTGCCTCCAGGGTGCCCTGGGTCTCTTGGATGCCGATGGTGTTGAGCTATGGAGAGCGTGGCGTGACCACACCAGAAATCAACGGACGTCCGGGGGTCTCAGGGTTGGGTTTCTTGTGGAAGGTTTCTTGTGGTCGAGCTCCTAATTACTGTCGCTTGGCCTCCTTCGGACCGAAGCCACCGAGCGAGAAAGCGAAGAGGGCGCCCCTGATATGGCTCTCGATGTCCACGGCCAGGCGCCCCACAGGGAGCGAGCTCTCGGACTCCACGGGCGGGGTCACCTCCTCGTCCTCGCCCATGTCCTCGGAGGCGTACAGCATGAGCTCGACCACAAGAAGCCTCCCACCAGAGACACAACCCTGAGACCCCAGGACGTCCATTGAATTTTTGGGGGGAGCGTCACTCTTTCCACAGCAAACCCATCGAAATACAAGAAACCCAGGGCACCCTGGAGGCAAGCAGGGTGTTTCTTGGCCCGGGTTTCCACTGTACTCGAAGCCGCTGTCGGACTCGCTCGGGCCGTAGGAGTCGTCGCCGGAGCCAACGTCGACCTCGCCCTGGCCGAAAGAGGAGCCCTCGTCCAGGCTGGCGTTAGAGTCGATGCTCTCGTCGTCCTCTTCGTCGGGCCAGTGGAAAGCTTCGCCTGGCTCCTGCGCCGCCTCACGAATGGCTGCGGCCGCCATGCGGCGCCCTCCTCGCCAGCTCCTCCGCGGGGCCCCTGAAATACTCCTCGGTGTCGCGGGGCGCGGGGGACGCCGTTGCTGGACGGCGGAGGCGCCGGGGCCCGAGCGGCCGCCCTTCCCGGGCGGCGGTGGCGGCGGTGGTGGCGCTGATCTGCCTGCTCGTCTCCTCCTCGCGGGCCGCCTTGGCCTCGGTCTCGGTGGAGACGACGGGCGGCTCTGGGGCGCCCGGGATGGATGGCCTCCTCGGCTCGGGGTCCCTCGACGAAAGCGGGCGCGAGGTCGCAGTCGTGGGCGGCCACGTCCCTCGGCGCCTGCACGAAGGCGTCATCGAGAACGGAGTCGAAGCCGGTGTCCCCGAGGCCGCTCTGAGCAGCGGCCGCGGCGGCCCGACGTGGGCGCGAGCCCGGCGTCCCGCTCCGCTGCGAAGATCGCCTCTGAGTGGAGGCCGTGGCCCGTCCAGCCCAGCGTCTCGCCGATACGATGGTGCGAACTTTGGGGGTGATGATACAGAAGCTCTTCCCAAAGTTCGCTCCCCGCGCCTCTTGTGGCAATTTGAACCCACATGCACCCCGTGGATGATCAGACAGAGGGGGTGAAGGGGGGGGCACCTTTTTCATCCGCGGCATGCAGTCATCGGTGTCTCTTCTGCCCCTCCGGGAGGACCTCCACGCGCTGCGGATCCTGATGAAGCTGGCCGACTCCCTCGTGCCGCTGGCGTCCCTGGGCAAGCCTGCACGCGCCAGCGACGAGAGCGACCCAGACCACCCCCCGAGCTGCATCACCGACGGCTCAGATTCGGAGTGGTGGACTCGCTGCCCAGCAGCCTGGGTGGAGGTGGACCTGCAGGAGTCGAGGGGAGAAAGAATCATGCTGGCTGCTGACCATGACCAAGATGTCGCGGGATCTTGGCGACGCCGATCTTGGTTATGGTCCATTCCAGCCGTCGCCGATTCGCGAGGATCATTCACGGCTCAGCGGTGACCAAGATGGACGGTGACCAAGATCGGCACCGACGTTTCCGCGCGCAGCCTGGGTCATCGCCACCCTTCTTTCTCCCTCCAAGGAGGACGTGCTGGTGCACGAGGTCCGCATTCAGTGGTGGGGCAGCTCGTGGGCCAGTCGAGGAAGAAGGATGAACGGCACAGGCATAAACTTTCAAAAGGCCCGCGCCGAGCCGACTGGTCCGCGCGGCGCTCAGACACTTCGCTTGGATCGGCGTTGGGCCCTCCTCTCTGGCCAGGGACGGCTCCGGAGGCGCCGCCAGAGGGATCCGGCACAAATGCAAGAAGTCCGCGCGGATCTTCCTCCCAGGAAAACCGCAAGTCGAGCTCGCGTCAAATTTCAGACTGGGTCTCGTCATTTTCCTGACGGCCCCGTCCGGCCAACCCGAGTCCCCCGAGCCCTAGACGTATGTCTCCCCGATCCTGGAGACCCGACGTCGCGAAACAAATGCAGCATCGCGAAAAGGCACGGCTGGACGCCCGACCCCGTCTTCCTGCAGCACTTTTCGAGCCGGTTCGATCTGCGATGCTCCCGGGGCTCGAGACCAGGCGAAGACGCTCGGTGAGAACAGGTTGCACCGCCTTGCTTTCGGATCCGTCGTGCTCTGGCGGATATCCCGCCTAAGAATGTATCGGGAATGCACCCCACACGATGCGAAAAAGTAGGGTGGAACATTCCGCCTCAGCACAGTAGGGCGGATTGTTACGTAATAAAGCGTGGCGGAAACAGCGACGGCAAAGCAGGGCGGAAATCGTTAACACAGGAAAGTTTGCGAAATCGCCCAAGACACGGCGGATCCGAAGTCAGTGTGGAGGGACAAACAAGGCACCGACGGAGCTACTCCCCAGGCCTCTCCCAGGGTGCGCTCTCACCAGAATGTCATGCATATTCCAGCCGTGGCGACGAGGGCCTCCCAGGAGGCCCAAGAAGGCGGAAACGAGGAAAGGGCAGTGGTATCTGCACCTCCTCCTCTGAGAACCCGTCCCTATCGTGGACGGATTCGAAAGAGGAACACTGGCATAAACCTAAACTGTCAGAGGCCCGCGCGGATTTCTCGGATTGGTGCTGGACCCCCTCCCTGGCGGGTCCAGCGCAGCTCCATGAAACCCGCGTGAACGGCCGAAAGCTGATGCTCATGCCGCTTCATTGCCGCCTCTCGGCGCCCAGACCTCGGGGCTCTAGATTTGCGGGCGACGAGCGGTAGAAAGTAGTATGTTCCGCCGTCGTGGGTGCTTGCCCCAGGGCGGCTGGGAAGCTTATGCCCTTCCGGTGGCACGTCAGGGTGTAGCCTTTCCAGCCGCCCCGGGACAGGCGCCCTCCGTGGCAGAAACCTTGATGTGATACCGCTCATCGCCCGCCGACGGAAGCTCAGGCTCGTGCCGCCTCTCCTTCTCCCAGCCAGCACGCTCGAGGTCCTCGCCTCGCAGGCCTGCGACGGCGAGGGGCCCTGGCTGCTGCAGCGCCGCGGGGAGGAGGCCGCCGGCGGGCCCCCCGCCGGCCTCAACTGCTGGTCTCGCCTGCCAGGCTCCCCGGCGTCCCCGCCCCGGGCGGACCCGGCCCGACCCGTCCCGCTGTGGCCCGCCCCCCGTCAGGCGCCGTGCGGGAAGCCCAGACATGCTCGCGTCGTAGAAGATTCGGGACGGAGGTTGTTCGCCCTTCTCGGCCTCTGGAGGCCCTCGCCGGGCCCAGGGGCCGTCAGAAGACGATTCTGGTTGAAGAACCGGCCCTGGGGAGAGTGTCAGGACTTCCAGGGACCGCGCATCGACAAAGTCGAGGCGTCGCATGTCTGGGGAGGGAAGCGGGTCCCTAGGTTTGTCGCCGTTTCCTGGCTCCCCGGGGCCCTCCACGGGCCCCGGGACCGTCAGAGAACGGCTCGGGATGCAACAGCTCGTCCGGGGGGAGGGCCCCAGGGCCCAGGTCCCGTTTCTCTCAGGACCGGCTTCCCCCATGCCAGGGCGAGCGAGGGGGGGGGAAGCGAGAAGGAGAAGGAGCCTCCTCAGAAGGGCGGCGGGGCTCCTCAGAAGGCCTCCGGCCTCCTGCTCCTGAGAGGTTTTCTGCACCTTCGGGGAAGGCTTCGGGGAACTTTTCAGAAGGCCGGGGGGGCTCCCGAGCCTCCTGAGAAGGCCCGCCCCTTCTCACTTCCCCGTGGGCTCGCCGCCGAGTCAGAGGACAACGAGATCTGGGCGTTTCCATTTTTTTTTCGCACGGGGCATGTTTGCCCGGCTTGCGAGCCCCGGCACCATCACATATCGAGCTGGCCCGAAGAGTGCAGCAAGAAGATGAGGTCTAGGGCTCCAGTCGTGATTACTTCTGAACGTCGGATCTCAGGGTAGTTGGCCTTTCGGGGGCCCCCTCGTCGCCGCGGCTGGACGCGGCTCGGAAAACTGATGTCAGGAGCTGTCCAGGGATCGGTTTATTCCCCATATCCTAAGATGGGGTTCTTGTTATTACTTGGACGGCGCCGACTCCAACCAGAACCAGAACCCCTCCTTTCCTCCCTCCTCCTCCTTCCTCTCTTCCTCCTCAAACTTACTCATGCACAGACTTACTCTTACTCTTACTCATTTATACTCAGACCTAGTCATACTCAGACTTATTCATATTCAGACTTTCTCATGATCATATTCATTTATACTCAGACCAAGTCATACTCAGACTTACTCATACTCAGTCTCGCTATCCTAAGATGGGATTATTGTTATCACTTGGACGCCTCCTACTCCTTCTCCCCCTTCCTCTTCTCGTCCCCTCCTCTTCTCGTCTCCTCCTACTCGGACTCACTCATACTCAGACTTACTCATACCCATACTTACTCAAACACAGACTTTCTCATACACAGACTTACTCATACTCAGACTTACTCATACCCAGACGTACTCATACACATACTTACTCATACTCAGACCTACGCATACTCAGACCTTAGATTAGATTTGGAGGATGTCTCAGGCGGGGCTCTGGTTTCAGCACCCCTAAGGGGAGCCGCCAGGGGTGTTTGCACGGGCCCGTTCGCGGCCATTGTGTTGGGATGTCTCAAGCGGTTTGCCTGTTTTCATGCTCAGCATCCTTCGCTTGGAGAGCAGATTGTGAGGATGTCTGAGGCGGGGCGCTGGTTTCAGCACCCCTAAGGGGAGCCGCCAGGGGTGTTTGCACTGGCCCGTTCGCGGCCATTTTGTTGGAATGTCTCAGGCGGTTTGCTCGTTTTCATGCCCAACATTCTTGGTTCTCATAGGAGGTGTTGAGGATGTCTGAGGCGGGGCGCTGGTTACAGCACCCCTAAGGGATGCCGCCAGGGGTGTTTTCACGGGCACGTTCGCGGCCAGTTGGTGGGGATGTCTCAGGCGGTTTGCTCGTTTTCATGCTCAACTTCCTTCGCTTTCAGAGCAGATTGTGAGGATGTCTGAGGCGGGGCGCTGGTTTCAGCACCCCTAAGGGGAGCCGCCAGGGGTGTTTGCACTGGCCCGTTCGCGGCCATTTTGTTGGAATGTCTCAGGCGGTTTGCTCGTTTTCATGCCCAACATTCTTGGTTCTCATAGGAGGTGTTGAGGATGTCTGAGGCGGGGCGCTGGTTACAGCACCCCTAAGGGGAGCCGCCAGGGGTGTTTTCACGGGCACGTTCGCGGCCAGTTGGTGGGGATGTCTCAGGCGGTTTGCTCGTTTTCATGCTCAACTTCCTTCGCTTTCAGAGCAGATTGTGAGGATGTCTGAGGCGGGGCGCTGGTTTCAGCACCCCTAAGGGGGGCCGCCAGGGGTGTTCTCACGGGCACGTTCGCGGCCAGTTGGTGGGGATGTCTCAGGCGGTTTGCTCGTTTTCATGCCCAACATCCTTTGCTTTCAGAGCAGATTGTGAGGATGTCTGAGGCGGGGCGCTGGTTTCAGCACCCCTAAGGGGGGCCGCCAGGGGGTAGGACGCTCATGAACAGACGCTCACGATGGCATGACATAAAACATGAGATGCACATGTGGGGAGCTCCACGCAGTGAGTAATTGACTTGCCGGTGTCTCAACTTGCCCTGCCTCGACCCCGTGGGCCTGGGCCCTCAGCGGAGGCCCTGCGCTTCATATGTGGCCACAGGGGGAGCGCCCCCCGACCTTTTTGCTTTTATTCGCGGGGCGGTCGTCGCTGGGCTCCTCGGGCCCTCGACGGGCCCCAGGACCGTCAGAGAGCTACCCAGGATGAAGACCCCTTTCCTCCACGACCCGTCTGCCCGGAGTCAAAAAGATAGACATCGGGCTGGGAGGATGGGACTGGGATAGATGACCAGATCACCTGCATTATCGTGTATATCGAGCGTGCTTATTACACAGTCGTGCCCCGTATCCACCCAACCCCATCCTCCCAACCCGATCGTTGTCTTTCTGGCAGACCCCCTCGCGTCAAGGAAAGATCACGATAGGAGTTTTTTCGCTCTTTTCGCCCTCTGGAGGCCCTTACCGGGCCTCGGGACCGTCAAGAAATAATCCAGGATGAAAAATTGAAACCAGGGAATGGGTAGAGAAAATTGGTACCAGGGAATGGGTCGAATTCTCTTGGGGTTGTGACGCCTCCAGGGGCGCATCCGACCCCGCGGGATCGCCTAGCGGGCTGGTCTGACCGGCCTGGCACTCGTCACCCAGCCGCGTGTTGCCAGAGTGGCCTTGGCCCAAGTTCTCCCCGGATTTCCAGCAGGCCCCGACAGCCCCCAGAGCGCCCCTCACGAGGCCCAGAGGGCCCCCCAGGGGCTCCAACATGAGGTGATGGGATCACTTCAAGCCAGGTACACTCCCAGCAACCCCCGACCCCAGACCCCGACGTAGTGTGTCTCCCCCCCGCGGACCCTCAGAGGTCTGGATCCGTTTCCCGGGACCCGGTTGAGTCGTCCTTCGACGGCCCTGCGGCCCGGCGAAGGCCCCACGACGGTGAAACATGTGCCGTCGCGATCTCTCCCGACGCGAGGGGGCCTGGGACCCACCCTGTTAGCGGCGCCCACAAGGGAGTGGCGCGAGGAGGTGGGGCGTCTAAGACGTCGGGGGGAGTTTCTGAGAAGGCAGGGACTTTCCTAGAAGGGCCCGACGGCTTCCAGCAAGGCTTGGGCCAGGGACACCGGGGGCACGCTGCGCGCGTAACCTTCCCGCGCAAGGTCGCGCGGAAACGGCCTCTTTTCCGCGCGGTGTGCCGCGCTTGCGACTGGCGCGAGCCGCGGCGCGAAGGCCGCTATGTCTTCTCGCGTGAGGCCCGTTTCTTCTCGTCGCTCCCCGGTGGCAAGCCCCGGCCCAAGGCTGGCGCGGCTCCACGCGGCGCGTACGGCTCCGGCTGCTCGACGGGCACCTCGACCCATGGTTCCGCAGTTACCACTTCGGCCTGCGGCGGCTGGAGGTCCCGAGGCGCGATGAACGGCCGATTGGGTGTCGACGCGTCCCCTCTGAGCCTATCCCCTCCTCCGAACGTTGCCCTTGAGCTCTTGCAAAAGCGCCAGGAGCGAGCCCCAAGCGGGCAGCAGGAGACGAAAAATCGGCACGAACCCCAGACACGCTCGCGTCGTAAAGAGCTCACGAAGGGAGGTTTTGGCGTTTTCGGCCTCCAGGGAACCTCGCCGTGAAAAACTGCTCGGGATGCGAAACTGGCCCTGCGGGGGTCGGAACGTCTGGGGACCCCGCATTAAACATGTTACCAGCATGGTGTTCAAACAGTGTGTTTCTAGCAAGTTGTGTTGTGCAATCTGCGTTGTGCAATCTACGTGGTACAAGTAGTTAAGTTTGGAAACTTGGGGTTGTCAAGTCCACTGCTCGCGCAATCATCCCACCCACTCGCCCGCAGCTTGGCTTGCAGAACCCATGCGGCGGCGATTGTGATGAGTGGTTTGTGTTTACTGGTGCATCTTTGCGGCCACGTTAGCCCGCGCACACCGGTCAGCTAGTTTGGCGCGACCGACGCGGCCGCGGTGGCGATGACCACTGGGCACATTTCAGCGGACATTTCACGACGAGTCGGTGACTTCGGCGGGCGCGGCATCATGGCGACGTCGTCGTCGGTAGACACGATGATGATGATAATAGCGATGATGGCGACGATGTTGACGATGACGACGGCGAGGCCAACGACGGCGCCGATGCTGATCTCGCCGATGACGACGACGGTGTCTTCGCGTCGGTGATGAAGGTTTTGAAAGGAATTCGACATGCGCGCGCGGCCGACGCGCGCGAAAGGCCCGCATGTTTTTTTTGTTGTGACAGGGACTGACCCCCCCCAGCCCCCCAGCACGGGCGTTTCGGTGTTCGAGTGATGGCGACATGCGCGCGAGGGGCCCATTCGGTTGAGTTTTATACAAACAAAAACAACGTTGGAAACAAACCATGTTTTTTTCCATGAATTCGCAAGAGAGCGCGCAGACCTGTTTTTGAAAACTGGTGTTGCTAAACCATGTGGTGTTATATGGTTTCGGGCCACTAGTTTTCGAAATCTCTACGAGGCCTGAAGTTCTTGAAGGATTCTGGAGTGCGCGCGCGACCGACGACGCGCGCGTATTTCGCTTCTTGTTTTGGGCAAGGGAATCTGGCGACAGCACGCGCGCCAGGGCGTTCGCATAATTTCGAATACGTAACAGCGCGAGCGCACGTTTGGAGCATTCGGGTTGCGAATGTGTAAGTGTATGTGTATGTGTAGGTGTATGTGTATGTGTATGCGTATGTGTATTTAGATGTGTATGTGTATGTGTATGTGCGTATGTATGTATGTGCGTATGTATGTATGTATGTATGTATGTATGTATGTATGCATGCATGCATGCATGCATGTATGTATGTATGTATGTATGTATGTATGCATGTATGCCTGTAGGTCTATATGTATACATTATATATATATATATATACACATGACGGCGCACCGGGTCCGGGGGCCCGGGGCCGGGACCCCGACCACAAATGTGGGCTCCGGGGGGCCCCGAGGCTCGCCGGACCGCCGGACGCCGTCCAAGATCGTTCGCAGGCGGCTTCGAAACGCGCTCCGATGGCTCCAGATGCCTTTCAAGACGCCTGTCATGACACCAAGAAGGTCCCAGAAGCCTCCAAGACGCTCCGAGAGGCAGCCCAAGAGAGGCCCAAGAAGCAAAAATCGTGCCATTCCTATGGGAAAACGTATATTTTTCGCATGTTCGCCTCTTGGGTTTTCACCGCGTCCAAGACGGCCCAAGAGGCGCCCAAGACGGTCTACGAGGCCTCCGGGAGCGCTCCAAGGCTGCGCACGAGTGGCCCAGGACGGCCCCAAGACGGCCGAAGAGAGCCCCAAGACGAGTTCGAGAGGGGTCCCAGACGGAGAAAGCCAACCTCGAATTCCGAGCTTCCGGCCCAAGAGGCTCCAGGAGGCGCCAAAATGCCGCCAAGAGGCGCCAAAAGGCTCCCAAAAGCACCCCAAGACGTTCCGAGAGGCACCCCAAGAGAGGTCCAAGAAACAAAAATCGTGCCATTCCTATGGGAAAACGTATATTTTTCGCATGTTCGCATCTTGGGCTTTCACCGCGTCCAAGACGGCCCAAGAGGCCTCCAAGACGGCCTAGGAGGCCTCCGGGAGCGCTCCAAGGCTGCGCACGAGTGGCTCAGGACGGCCCCAAGACGGCCCAAGAGAACCCCAAGACGACTTCGAGAGGGGTCCCAGAAGGAGAAAGCCACTCTCGAATTCCGAGCTTCCGGCCCAACATATCCCAGGAGGCGCCAAAACGCCACCCAGAGGCGCCAAAAGGCTTCCAAAATCAGCCCAAGACGTTCCGAGAGGCACCCCAAGAGAGGTCCAAGAAACAAAAATCGTGCCATTCCTATGGGAAAACGTATATTTTTCGCATGTTCGCATCTTGGGCTTTCACCGCGTCCAAGACGGCCCAAGAGGCCTCCAAGACCGCCCCAAGACGGCCCAAGAAGCTTCCAAGAGGGCCCCAGGACAGCCCAAGAGGGCCCCAAGACGGCCCAAGAGGCGCCCAAGATGGCCCAAGAGGGCCCCAAGACGGGCCCAAGAGGGGGCCCAGAGGGGGACCACGAACCGCAAGCTCGAGCCTTCCGCCCCAAGAGGCCGCCAGGAGGCCCCAAGGAGGCCCCTCAAGAGGCCCCAGGAGACCCCCAAGAGGCCCAAAGGAGGCCCCGAGAAGCCCCAAATCGGCCCCCAAAATGCTTCGAACCTGCTTCCAGGAGGCCCCCGACAGGTTCAGAGGCTCCCGAGAAGCTACGTCAAACTCCCAGCGAGCGGCCGGACGAGGCCCCCCACAAAATCACAAGAGGGTTCCAGTATTTGTATCCTTCAGCGCTCTCTGGCCTTCTTCCCCCTGCCCCCTTCCCTGCGACTTTCGTTGACTCAAGCTCGCCTCCTAGCTAGAACCTAAGCGCGCGCGAAGCGCGCGCGTGGTTCTAGTATATATATATATATATATATATATATATATATATATATATATATATATATATATTCTTTTGTCCATATTGCTATAGTGTGTGATCTTGCGACCCCCCCCGGTGAACGGGACCCCTCCGGATCCTTGCCACGGGGGCACTTTGGACGCCCTTGCAGACAGTGCCCCCTGCTTTCAGGGGCTCCTGAAGCCCCTGCTGGGCCCAAGCGACGGGCCCAAGTCGGTCAGGGGGGCGGCCAGACGGCCCCGGGAGAACCCACAGACCCCAGACACCCGCCAGACGCTCGAAGACGACCCAAAGAAGACCTCCAAGAGGCAGTCGAAACGCAAAAACAATGATGTCAGATGGTTTTTTGTATGAATTTGGGTGTGCTCAGTTCTTCAGTCTTCCGGGCGTCCGAAGCCGCCCAGGATGCCAGAGAACCGAGACGGCCGAGGTGGGCCCCAAAATGGCCCGAAGAGAACCCAATGACGGCCCAAGATGGCCCCAAAACGCTTCCCGAATCATTCCAAATCGTGGCCTGGTCGTTCAGGGAGACCGCGGTTGGACGCAGGGTGGTCCAGGGAGGCCACCAGAAGGAACCCAGGAGGCTTCCATACGGCCCCACCAAGCCCTTTAGAACAACTTTCGTGGGTTTTACACGAGACTTTCGAAGGATGGGTCTCCGCACAAAGAGCTGCGGGTGGGGGCGAATTCGTAGGGTTGGGCGACAATGAGGAAGGGGAAGCGAAAACATGAGGGAAGGATCGCGAATAACATGATCACAACGACGATGCCAGAAAACAAGACAATAACGAACTATCGCTTCATATCCCGTTCTGCCTCGTTGCCCTCCTTGCCTGCGTGCCAAACCTCAAGGACCAAGGTGCACGGCGCGAAGCGACAATGCAGTCTTGTGTGTATAGATAGAGATGTTTTCTGGGCGCTCGATCTTTGAAATCGTTCTTGAACACCGTTTTTGTTGAACGATTTCGGCATGTGCGCGCGACGACGCGCGCGTGTTCAATTCGTCCTTTTGTTCTGTTTCAAGGGGTTTGTAAAAACTGATGAATTGGGGTAAATGAGCGCGCGCGCATAATGCTTTTGCAGCGGGCGAGAGCGGGGGTCGATAAGGGGCTGCCAGGGGTGGGATGAATTCATATTTCGGGTGGGCGATGGGGCAGAATCATACACGACAAACAAATGCGAAAAGGTGGCCCGTTAAGTCCGAGAGGGCGGAAAGTATATCTTAATATTCTTCCAGACTGGACAGCCTATATCGTGCAGCTAATTTTGAAAAGCTTGGAATTGTCAACTCCACTGCTCGCACAATCATCCCACCCGCCCGCCCGCGCCTTCCTTCGTTTGCAGAACCAGTGCGGCGGCGATCGCGATGGGCGCTTGGCGGTTGGCTTGTGCATCTCTGCGTCCGCGCCAGCCCGCGCGTGCTCAAGCGCGCAGCGGCCAGCTTGTTTGGCGCGACCGACGCGGCCGCGGTGGCGCTGACTTCTCAGCCAGCACTTCAGTGCGAGTCGGTGGCTCTTGCGGGCGCGGCACAATGGCGACGTCGACAACTGTAGACGCGATGCCGCTAATAGTGGCGATGGCGACGCTGACGACGGCAAGGCCAATGACACCGCCGATGATGATCGCGCCGATGACGATGCAATGCGCAAAAGCGATCATATGTTTCCGGCGCGTGCTTTCGGGGCGCTTGATTTTGAAATCCTCGCGGAACCTTCGGATTTGACGGCCTTCGGCATGCGCGTAATGACGCGCTCGCGCGCTTGAATTTGGCCCCGTTCGTTTCAACGGGTTTTGAACGCTGATGATTTGGACAGCAGTGGGCGAGGGGCGGGGTCCGATAGTGGACTGCTCGCGGAGGCGCGAATGCATATTTAGGATTGGCGACGGGGCAGAATCACGCGCGAGTTGCAATGCAGGAAGGCGGGCCGACACGTCCGGGGGGCGGGGGGGGGGGCGGGGGCGGCGGGTTGTTCTAGGCGCGGGGATCTACGCGGTATCATTTATTCGCCGCGGTTAATTTTGAGAAACTTAGAGTTGGCAGCTTCGTCGCTCGCGCAATCACCCCACCCGCCCGCCCGCAACTTGTTGCGCGAAACCCACGCAGCGGCGATCGCGATGGGCGCTCGGCGCTGGCTGACGCATCTCCGCGGCAGCGCTGGCCCGCGCACGCTCGCGCGCGCAGCGGTCGACTAGTCTGGCCTGGCCGACGCGCCCTCGGCGGCGCTGGCCGCTGGGCAATTCCCAGCGGGCCCTTCAGCGCGAGCGGGCGACTTGGGCGGGCGCGGCATCGCGGCGACGTCGACGACGGTGGACGCGGCGACGGCAGTAGCGATGGCGGCGGCGATGACGACGACGGCGACGGCGAGGCCAGTGACGGCGTCGATGCAGGTCGCGCCGATGACGACGGCGACGTCCTCGCGTCGACGATGGAAGTTGCGGAAGGAGTTCGACGCGCGCCAGCGGCCGACGCGCGCGAGTGGACCGCGCGGCATTATTCGACGGGGATCACGCCCGCGCCCCCCCCGGGCGCGCGCGGAGGCGTTCGAGTGATTTCGGCGGGCGGCGCGAGGGGCCCGCCTGGTCGACCGCGATGAAAACGTTGAGAACCCCCCCGGTCGTTTGCGAGAGTTCGCGAGAAGGCGCGCGCATATTTTCTCGAAGACCGACGTTGCGCAAACATGTGGTTTTACATGTTCCGGGGCACTCGATGTTGGAGTCCTTCCGACGTCTGAGTTTTTGTTCGAGGATTTCGGCGCGCGCGCGCGCGTCGTAGCTTTTTTGCGCGACGAGGGTTCTTGCGACGGCGCGCGCGCCGGGGCGCCCGAGCGATGTCGGCGTTCGCGCGCGAGAGGCGTGCTTGGCAGCATGCGATGGACGCGTTGACCGACAGCCAATTGTTTTCCCGCATATTCGCATGGGCGCGAGCGCAGGCCGCCAAACAGAAACGCCGCTTCGAAACATGCGTTGTTTTCATGTTATCGGGGCGGTCGGTGCTGACATCCGCGCGATACCTAGGGTTTGTCGAAGGATTTCGGCGCGCGAGCGCGACGGCGTGCTCGCGTGCGCCACGAGCCATTTGTCGCGCGGAACCCTTGCGAACTCCCGATTCTTGATCAACGAGTGCGCGCGCGCATTTCCCTTTCCTGCAGGTGACGAGGGCGGGGGGGGGCAATGGGGGACTGCCCGGGGCGGGGCGCATTCGCGCAGAGATTTGGTCTATGATGGGCGACGTGGCACTGCGATGTGCAAGCTTGGACACAAGAACGGAGGCCTCGAAGCCCAGGGGGGGCGGGGGGGCGGTAGATCCGAATCACCCTTTCGACGCGAGAATCTACGCGGTGCAACTTGCGCGGCGCAATTAGTTTTAGCCAAAACTTGGAGTTGCCGGCCCCACCGCTCGCGCAATCACCCCGCCCGCCCGCAACTTGGCGCGCGGAACCCGCGCGGCGACGATCGCGATGAGTGCCTGGGGTCGGCTGGTGCATCCCTGCGGCCGCGCTAGCCCGCGCGCGTTCGCGCGCGCAGCGGCCGGCCAGTTTGGCGCGACCGACGCGGCCGCGGCGTCGCTGACCGCTGGGCAATTCCCAGCGGGCCCTTCAGCGCGAGCGGGCGACTTGGGCGGGCGCGGCATCATGGCGACGTCGGCAACGGCAGTCACGACGATGATAGCAACGATGATGGTGCTTATGATTACGATGACGGCGGCAAGGCCAGTGACGGCATCGATGCTGATCGCGCCGATGACGATGACGGTGTCCCCGCGTCGGCGATGGAACGTTTTGGAAGAGTTCGACATGTTCGCGCGACCAGCGCGCTCGAGTGGCCCGCGTGGGGTCAGTCGACGGGGATCGCGCCTCCCCGGCTCGCGCGCAAGGGCGTTCGGATGATTTCGACATGAGGCGCGAGAGGCCCGCTAGGTCGACTGCGATGAAAATGTTGAAAACACTTCATGCCAAACGAATGCGCCAAAACGCGTTTTTTTGGGGGGCGGGGGAATCGATGTTGCAAAACAGCGTGATTTCATATGTTTCTGGGGCGCTCGAGTGCGAATTCCTTCCGACGCCTAAGGTTTGCGGCGGTTTCGAGCGCGCGCGCGCGCGACGGCGCGCGCGCGCGTAAGTTTCGCCGCATTTGTTGTGCCGGGGGCGTTTTCGAGAGCACGTGCGCCAAAACGTTCGAATGAGTTTGACGCGCGCGCGCGTGCGAGGGGCACGATGGGGTGCGCGCGATGAAAATTTTGCAAAACCGATTGTTTCGTGAAGAACTCGCAAGAGCGCGAGCGCAGGATTTGTTCAATATTCTCGTTGCGAAATCATTATATATAAGTGTAGAAAAGTTACGGGACGTTCGATTTTGAAATCCCTACGGGAACTAAGCTTTTGAAATATGTCGGCATGCGCGCGCGATGGCGCACGCGTGCGCTTCGCCCATTCAGTTGCAAGGGATTTTTTTTGAACATTGATCGTAGTTGATAAACGAGCGCGCGCACATAGCATTGCGTTGCATGAGATAAGAGAGAGGGGGGGCGATAAGAGACTGCCTCGGATGGTATGAGTTCATATTTCGGATGGGCGATGGGCCAAATTATAGGTAAGTTACAATACAGGGGGAGGTTCATCTGAATATTTGCTTGGACAGGGGAACACATGCAGTTTACGTTGTGCAATTTATGTGGGTTAAAGTACGTGGTGTAATCTGTGTTGCGCACATATGGATATGTATATTTACATATACAAACGTTCCCATATAACTTGTATACATACGTATGATCATATATATTTATATGTGTGTATATGTAAATACATGTAAATGCAGCAATGTACATGTAAATGTGCATATATACAAATACAAGTAAACATATAATACGTATTGTGCATTTCGTGGTTTGCAATCTATGTCGTGTAATAGTTTGTGCGCAATCTATGTAATGCAGTCTTCGTTGTGCAGTTTATGTGGTACGCCGTACATGTTGTGCAGTGTGTGTGTGTGTGGTGCAGTCCATGTGGTGGTGCACTCGATGTGGCGCAGACCTTCTCGCGGCGACGGGGCGGCGACGGCGAGCACGGAACCGCCAGACCGACACGTAAACCCAAACGACGGGCGGCGACAACGCGGCGACGGGCCGGCGACGACGAGCACTGAACCGCCAGACCGACATGCAGGCCCAGACCACGGGCGGCGACGGGGCCGCGACGGCGGGCACGGAACCGCCAGACCGTCACGCAGGCCCAATTCCTCAGAAAAGGAGCCAGAAACCCAAATGCAAACACGGTCTGGGGAAAAATCAAGTCATCGCATGTTTGGATCCAGCCCCCCCCGCCCGAGGGCTCGAACTAAATGTATTTTTGGATCCGTCGTGGCGGAAAAAATGCAACATCGCTAAAAATCACGACCAGAACCCTGGACCCCATGTTTCTGCTGCACTTTTCGAGCTGGGCTGATTTTTGATGGCCCAGGGGCCGGGCACCAGGCGAAAACGCCAACTGTGAAGTAGTCGCAGCGCCCGGATCTGAGGAGGAATCCGTGTCCGCCGCCCGCTGAGGCCCCCAGGGCTCGATCCCCCAGGCGGTGGTTTCCGTGGGGCGTCCCAGAAAAGGCTTCGTGCGCTCCCGAGGGTCGACAGAGCTGGCGCGACTTCCTCGGCGGGAGACCGGCGGATGCCGGCCGAAGTGAGACGAGGATGAGGCCGCCTTCGCCGGCGGAAGCCAGCGGAAGGCCAGCGGAAGCATAGAAGTCCGCCCCTCAGAGAAGGCGAGGCTTCTTGGCTCAGGGTTTCGCGCCCCGCAGAGGTCTACGGCTACCCCGCAGCGGGCGCCGGGCCACTCCGGCCGGCGCCTCTGTGGCACGCGCGCGCGCGGCGGCACGCGGGCGGCAGCTGGGCCCATCGCGGAGAAGAAAAAATCGCACGAGCACAGAATTTCGGAGATCTCAGAAGAGGACAAGACCCCGTGATCCTGGCGTCCCAATGTCTTCGAGCCCGGCGGTTTCGCCGAGTTTCGGGCCCTGGGACCCTCACAAAGCGATCTGGCTCGAAAAGTGATGCAGCAAGAGGGGGTCTAGGGCTCCAGCAGTGATTTATCACGATGTTGCAATTTTTTCGCCGCGTCGGATCTCAGGGGATACCGATACTGCTGCCTTTCCCTCGTCGCCACGGTTGGGTTCGCCTCGGGATTCTAGTCAGAACGCACCCCAGGAAAGGTCCGTGGAGCAGCGGTATCGGTATCTTTTTGCTCCGTTAGGGTCCGCGCGGATTTCTTGGACCAGAGCTGGTCCCCGTGCAGCGGCTCTGGCGCCGCCTGTGGCGGCGCCTTCACGCGACAGGGAGGGGGTCTTGAGTTTGGATCTGCGATACCTTGGCTGATTTTCCGATTTAAGATTGTGTCGCAAATGCGCCCCAAACGATGCGAACAAGTAGGGCGGAAATTTCCACTGCAGCAGAGTGGGACAGACAGTTTGCGCAAACATATGGCGGAAGTTGCGACGGCAAAGCAGGGCGGAAATCGGCACCAGAGGAGCCCGAGAAGCAGGGCAGACACTGCAGCCCTATATTTGCGACGCCGCCCAAGAAGCACGGCGGATCTGAAGCCAGGGAGGGGGGGGGGAGTTCAGCGCCCATCCGAGAGGTCCGCGCGGGCCCCCGCCCGTAAGTCGGCGGCGCGCTGGGGGGGAAAGCGAGAGGGGGCAGGCCTTCTCAGAGGGCGGCGGGGCTTCTCAGAAGCCCTCCGGCCCTCTGAGAAGCCCTCTCTGGCTTCGGAGAGGGCCTGCAGAGCTTCTCACAATTAGGGTCGGAGGCCTTCCGAGCCTCTGTCTTCCCAGACATGCGACGCCTTGATTTTTTCAGTGCGCTGTCCCTGGGAGTCCCCCTTTCCCCAGGACCGGTTTTTCATCATGAGTCGTTTTTTGACGGTCCCAGGGCCCGGCGAGGGCCCCCAGAGGCCGAACACTGTGAAAAACTTCCGCCCTGGATTTTGTGCGACGCGATCATGTCTGGGTTTCCCCCGTGCTCGCCGACGAGTCCGTGCTCGTGCTGTTGTTTCCTTCTTCTGTCGGCGGCCCTCGGTGGCTACGTGGCTGGGGATGGCCGCGCGGGCGCGCGCGCCCGTGGCCGCCTCCTCGGCTCCGGGCAGCAGCGCGGGCAACAGCGCGGGGGCTCCTGCGGAGGGCGCCGCTGGAGGAAAGAGCACTTGTCCTGGCCCGCCTCCTCCTCCTCCTCCTCCTCCTCCTCCTCCCCCTCCTCCTCCTCCTCCTCCTCCTCCTCCCCTCCTCCTCCTCCTCCTCCTCCTCCTCCTCCTCCTCCTCCTCCTCCTCCTCCTCCTCCTCCATCTCCTCCTCCCGTAGCCATTTTGGCTCAAGGCGGGCACGCGCTGTGGTGGCGCCAACCACCACCAGCCGCGTGCTCAGTGTACGTTTCGGGCGTCTTGGGCTGCGAGGTAAATCCAGCGGGACGGGCTGAGGCACACGAGGATGGCCGCAGCGGCGATCATCGATCCTCACAACGAGGGTCGTGGCACGCCAGAGCGGACATCAGGCGGCGGCGCGCGCGGCGGGAGCGCGCCAGCCGTCCTCAAGCGAGGTGACCTGTACTGGACCTGCGACAGTGCGAGCCCCCTGGTGCAGACCAGGCTCAATGGGCACACAGTCAAAGGCACAGATGAGGACCCTCCAGGTCCCGGGCTCTTGCAGGAGCTCACCGGCGCGCCCAACGCGCTGAGGGACACGGCACTGGACTACACAGCGGTGTTGGACGTCGCTGCTCCACCGGGGGCAGGCGTCAACGCGCACCATGTCGACGCCGACACAGTGTTCTTGCGTGCGCGTCTCACGATGCACGGGGACCGAGGTGGCGGCGCACATGAGGTAGCAGTGCCATTCTATAGCGGCGAGGTACCGGAGTCAACGGTCCAAGTCCGCGCTGCCGGCTGTCTTGCCACCTTGAATGCGACGCCGATGGTCAACACGCCTCAGAATGCGACACAGAGGATAGCGAGTATCTTCCCTGGGATGGCTCCTGCTTCCTCGTCTGTGATCGCTGAGACGGTGACGGCCTACACGGACGCAGAGGGGGCAGACCTCACGGAGCTGTTTTGCCGCTTGGACGCATATGTCGAAGCAGCCGCGTTGGCCAACGCACCGGCACTGCCGGGCGCCAACGTATCGCAGGTCCTTTGGCCAAACGTTGACATGCTGGGCCCAGCTGCACCTAATGTGAGCTGGAACATGCCTGGCGGGTTCATCGATGACCTTGGGGCTCTGCAGGACGGCAAGGCAGTGGTCCTCTTGGACGCGTCCCTCTATCCAGGGGGTACCGTTCGGGTGCCGACGCAGGTGATCAATTTGCTCTGGCTGATCTGTCAAGATCAGATCGGGCTCCCCAACCCTGTGAATCAGGGGCGGGCACGGGGTCAACCCGGCCAGCATGTGGGGCAGATCAGGGCCTATGTCTATGGGTCCGCTCAGCAGCGACCGCTTTGGAACGCTGCGCCTGCAATCACCATGGGGACAGTGAGGCAGCTGAGACTCTGGCTGGAGAACCACGGACAAGGGAAGCATGCATCGACGCTTGCATTCCAGAGGTCCGCGGCTCAATCGGTCATGCTCGGGCCTGACGCTACGGTTCTACCACTCCCGCTTCGACAGCGGGTCAGGCGGGACGCAGCGGGCGCGGGCGGTGGAGTCGGCAGGTATGCTGTCAGGTACATGGAGATGGTCGTCGAGACTGCTTGCGCCTACTGGCGCCGCCTTACTACACCAGGCGCGCCAGCGGGCTCGGAGTGGTCGGCGCGCGCAGCCCTCATCATGGGAGCAGCAGCGTGGGGCGTCCTCCCCGATTGGGGGGGTCCAGTCCCTGCAGCCGGTGCCCAGCCCTTCTGGGTCCCTCAAGGTCATGGGGGAGTGGCACTTCCGGCTCAGCTGGTCTCGCTATTTGGGATGTGTCGCGCTTACAGCGGCGATGCGGACGAAATCTGGTCAAGGATGACGTTCGCGGAGCTCAATGGGCTCACGCAGTTGTTGTCTGACGCTTCTCTCGGTGCGAATGGGTTTGCGGCTGTCTTCGAGCCACTTCAGTGGTTCGCAGGAGCGGCCGCCCCAGCCATCTTGGGAGGGCGCGGGCCGAACGCGTGGGCTTGGAGCAGGTTGTTCAATCCAGAGGGTGCGTTGCATTGCTTCCGCACGCCTGGGACGGTCACCCGCTTCGTCAGCTCCAATCTCAAGTACCTGGTCAGCAGAATCAACAATCAGACACGGGGCGCGCTACCGGAGGAGAGGAATATCTGGCCAGGGGGCCGCGGGCCTGCCGTCAAAGTGAAGCAGATCAACCTGTTGCGGTACGTACCGCGCGACAGCGATGTCTGCCCTGGGTGCTCCGAGGTTCTTCTCCTGAGCGCCGTCCCTGCATGTGCATGCACAGATACACCAGATTGCCAGTAGATCACGGCAGACACGCGCTCCTGAGCACGCTCGACTCCTCCATCTCCTCCTCCTCCTCCATCCCCTCCTCCTCCTCCTCCTCCTCCATCCTCCTCCTCCTCCTCCTCCTCCCTCCTC